CCACAACCAACCCAGATAGACACTCGCATCTAATTCTACAGGCTGAGCATTACCAGGATTTTTTAGGACTTTATTTTCCTCCATGATTAGCATGGTGGAAGTCATTTGTTAAACAAAAAACAGACAAGAACTCACTATCAATTTCCAAGTCTTTGTTGTTTATTATTACTCTTACAGTATTCTCCTAGTACACAATACTTTAAGAACTCAATTTAGAATTACTACTAGTTCTTCAGATTTAAGTACTGAATTCCTTTCATTCAGGGATTTTTTTTAGTCTTATGCTCTCCAAAATTAAGACAAACAATTAGTTTACCAGAGCACAAACATTTCAGATGTGGCACTTCCTTCCACTTCTCCTATTTAATTGTAACTTCGGTCAGGATTCACAACTCCCATTCCATGCCAGTGTTAATCAGTCGGGTATAACGGGAATACTCACCACCACAGCATCTGTCGGTTTGGTTGGCAGAACTTCTACTGTCAACCCCTCTGATCTGGCTGACTTGTTCTCTGGGGCATCAAGCTGCCTAAACGATGATGAACCTCCTTCTAAGGGATTAAAACTGCTTTCTTTTTTCTTCAACGTTTTGGATTTAGCTGTTTGATTATCATGCTAAATAGTAAAACAATTACATTTTTGTGTTACAAAATGAATCTCTATAGCCAGGTAAGCACTCAGAGTCCCCCTGTCATAGTCAAGCTCTACACAACCCATTTCAGTACCACTAACACAGCCAGTCTGAAAAACAGTGAGCTTGGGGACATCCATGATTATTGCTCTATCGAGAGGGAGAGGCAAGCTACATCTTCACTCTGCCCTGGCTGCAAACACCACTTTACAAGTGTACCAGGAACTACTATTCCTCTAGGTGGAGTTCTCTACCCATACAAGGAGCAAATCATTTGTGATACAACCTTGCTAATTTATTTAGGATCTTTCACGTTGCTTTCCGGTCCTAATGGTGAAGAACAGCGCATACAACTTTTTAGGTCTGGCGTTCTATCTCTTGCAGCTGTTATTTTACAGAGTTTTTTCCCTGTGACAGATTTCCAACACATTAGTTAACTTTGAGACAAAGAAAACAGCTACTCTCCAGCCCATGTCCTACTGGATGGTTTTCAAAGAGGAATAATTCCAAAGCCACCCATGTAAACACAGTTCTTCCCTACAATATAATCCTAGTCACCTTCTCTCCACCATCAGGACTGCTTTACTCCTCTCCCATTCTGTAAACAAGGCTGCTTATTAATCTTATGTTCATCCGGCAATTTACAGCTGGGTAAATACTGTGCGATAGAGATCTGTATAATCACAGCAGTCTCTACCAGTGGCAACTTCTGCTGCCATTACACTCCAGATTAAGAAGGGGGAAATTATGTGACAGAATTGTATCAGTCACAGATCCAAACTGTAGTTACATCAGGGACTCTATGTATTTGTGAAACTGATATGAAATAAACTCAAGTAAAAAGCATGACACAAACAGTATTCCTGGGTAAGGTAAATAAGAAATGTCAATTTTAATTGAGCATCATGGGTGATTAAATGGAAAAATGCAGGGTCTGAGACTTTAGTTGGTTGGTTGTTTTTGCTTTCTTCTCCTAACACATTAATTAGAGCCAAGTCTTATTTGCTGGGACGATTTTTCAATTTACACTTTCCCTTCTAGACACAACTGAGTTTGGTCTGTGCTGGAGACGAATGACACAGTAGAAGCCTGATTTAGATACTGTGCAATCATTTAAGTTTGGTAGTTCTCACAGCTAGTATAACTGCTTCATATTTTACCTGCCAGAGTAGTTGAAATGCTCAATGCTGAAGAACTGTAATAGCAATTTGATGGTCTCTTTCTAGAAGAGGAGAAAAAGAAAAGAAAAACTATTCTGAATGAATGTTAACATTAAAGAAAAGCTATTAATAAGAAAATCCTAGGAAAATATAGGTTGAGTGAAAAGGGATAAATCTTATTTTAAAAAATATTGTTACAGAGTTGCTTAATCACCCTTTACAGTTATTTGATAGTTTATCAAGTCACACATCTTATCCTGAGGATTGCTGGGATTTACAACCCACAGAAGACTCACTAAATACTTAGCACTTCAGCATTCTAGGACAGAGCACATTTAAGGAGGATGCAGGGGAAATTAGGTTCACAAGAAAATTCAGTTGTGTAGAGATCTCTAATACTAAGATTGGTATGTTATGAATGAAAATATCTGCATATAAGACTGGAAGGAGAAGCACAAGGGTTAAAAGAAATGATGCTGTTCCTAAAAAAACACTCATGTTCCTCAGGTTTTTATGTCAGGACCTGAAGATAGCTCTGTAACAATGCCTAGTATAAAAGATCTTCTCTGTGATAAAACCTCATCACAGAGAAAACTCGGCACCCAACAACAGGAGGGTGTCAACAGGGTGCCAGCACAGCACACACACAACCATTCTACTTCCTGGCAGATATATTCCAAGTAAGAAAACACTATTAACAGACAGTAACCTGGCCCAAGATTATATTATAAAGTCAGCAGGATTCCAAAGCAAAGGAGTTCCCCATGTAAGCTGATGATTCCTAAAGGACATAAAAGACCTGCCCAAAAACTGATTTTTCTCTGGGCAAGCACAGAATGTCAGGCTTAATGAAGACTTGACAACAGGTACCCTTCACACTCTCCTACCTGAGCACAGCCCTCTTGCTTCGACTGAATGAAATCAGACAGAATTGGTGCATTTGAATAAAAACAACTTATTTAGGGATTTTGTAAATAAATGTCATCTTCTTCCATAAAATCCTTAAGTGAGTTCTCTTACATTGACTTCCCTACTGCTGCAATGCCAAACTACAAGTCTGTAAGGCAAACTCTTTCCTGACCAATTTCAAATTCCACCAATATCAAAGTTAGTGAGGTAGCTGAAACCCCACAGAAGTGCTTGAAGGAGCAGAGGCTTATTTGTACTGACCTTTCTTTTAAGTATCTCTCAAAAGAGAACAGTCTGAATATTTAAGTGCATCAAAGAGTCTGCTGTAGCAATTACCTTCTAATGCATCGGTCTGGAAAATCCTCTGGTACAGGCTCTAAAAAAAACCCCAAAACATGAAAGCTAAACTTTAAATGAAAAAGCTACGCCAGCTTAGACCAGACAAACACAGAGCACTAGCAGGGAGCTGCTCTCCATTATGCAGACAGACTTTACATAAAATAATCATTACATAGTTTATACAGGTTCCTCACACCAGAGTGAAATTTGTTTATGCTTATATCCTGAAGTATTGTAGAAAAGAATTACCTAATATTGCTGAAAGATTTGAGATCTGTGGTATCTTATCTATGGTCACTGCTTTGCTGGAGTCCAAAAGAGTAGAGTTCTTGTACTTGCCAAGGTCCACAGAGTAAAAATTGCATCTTTCTGGATATAAAAAATATAAGTGCAGATTTAGTATGCAGAAATTGATTGAGTTATTAAATTTGTGACCAAACTGAAAGCAAGCACATTTGCAGGACAGGAACTAAAAAGCAAAACTAAAGTACTGTATTGGCACAAACAGCAGCAGAAAAGTTTGGAAGGAATTCAACTGAACACACATTTGTGGGTCATTCCCAATAAACAGCTTGTGTCAACAATGAATACTATAGGTTTAAAGTAGGATTCAAATTACACAAGGACCTGATTCATACCAGATTAGAGGACAGAGACACAGATTCCATGTTAAGCACAGGTTTATAGCACAGATGTGACTCAGTGAGTCACACCAAGGGAGGTCGCTAGTCTTTCTATTGTAGACAGTCTCGACACATTTTCTACATCAAATAAAAAAAGTCAATCAGAAGCTCTCACCCAAATCATCATCTCTGAATGTTTCAGGGGATGAATAAGTCTTCAGGCTGCCGCTAGCAGTGCTATAATCTGCATCTGAATCTTCATCTAAACACTCCATAAGAAAGGTGGAAACACCTGTGGGAAGAGTAATTTCTGTACCTAGAGAAAGGGACAAAAAAGGTGGCTAAAAAAAATAATCTATCATCTTCTAAAAACTATCAGGATTTCCTTATCTGAGTTTCATTCCTATAATGAGCTAAATATTCTCATGTCAGTATCTTATAACGAGTCATAATACAGTTAAAGAAGCAAACAAAGGGCATCCTTTGTTTACTTCCATACACTACCATCAGCCAAGAGAAGATGCCTTCTTTGCCCAAGGCACACAAGACATACCTGAAGAACTTAGCCTCTAGTAGGGTAATTCTTAAATAGGTCACATGCTTTTAGAAATGCAGGTTTGAGTAAACTGAAGAACTCATATCCACAACTAGTTCTGTTCAAAGATAAAATCAAGATCACGTGGTATCGAACAGGCTGTCTCAGGTGCTGTTGGTCTGTCTGTGACGCCTACAACCACTTCATGTGAACCCAGCCACAGGCTGCAGTGTGAAGCAGAAGTCCAGCCAGTGGTATCAAAACCTTCACTTTCTAATATCATACAGGCAGAACAAGTATAACAACAGCACAGTACAACAGCAGTACTTTTATAGAAATAAAATTATATAATGAATTTTACATTTAGTTTAATATCAATATAAAATATATTTAATAATATAATGTATTGCCATTATACTCACTTGAAGTCACTTCAGCATTTTTCAAACTTTCTTTACTTTCAAAGTTGATTATTTTGGATTCCTAAAATTAAAAGATCAATACAAACAATCTGAGAGAACTGAATGTAGACAAAGAAAGACATTTAAATATCATCCGACATTAGCAGATGCCAAGAAAATTCACTGTCTAGTACTTCACCATTTAAGTCTGCTGTTCATAGTGTAATTTGTAGCAGGGTTTTTCATGCACATGAACAAATCTGCTATCTTACAGCTCTAAAACTCATGACAAATATCCCACCATTTGATCCTGAAATCTTTGCTGGATGAGACTGAACTTACACACAACAGAGGTGAAGTAATGAATTTCACTGTCTTTTATTTTTTTTCAGACACCCAGTCCTCAGAATCCTACAACATTTCTGTAAATACAAACATCTGTGATGTGTAGGCAGTAGATTCTACAAAACCAGGCATTTTGTAGAAAATGCAAATAATTGGTAGACTATAAAGAAGAGCTAACATTTTAAAGAAAAATAGTTTTATACCAGTACCACCTGTGCCCTTTGCTGCAGCAGATTTCAGTTCAAACACACCTGGTTCACTATTCTCTTGCACTGCAGTATTAACCGTCCTGTAACACTTCTGCACCATCATCTCCAATCACTTTTTACCAGTTTTAATAACAAAAGAAAGCGCATCAGTGATCTGTCAAAGATCTGTGCCTGACCTAGAAGCGAGCAATTCTCTGGCACCACAATCTACTGAGATCTCTTCCACACGACACAATTCCTACAGCCTTGCCTCGTCCAGGATAATTAGTATTGATGTTTTCTCATGCTACCAGTAGCTCCAACAGCTTTTATTCTGGCCAAAGACACAGAAAATGTAATTCAAAATACAGGACCAAGTTCAGCCTGAAAAGCATCTGGGCACACACAGACATAACTCATAGGAAATTTTACCTGAATAGGAAAATAATTTAATGTGTGACATTTCTCTGATTTATCCCCCATCACTAATAGATAAAAAACAAGACAACATTCTCACCTTCAGTGGTACACAGCTTCTCTCTTGTTCCTCTTCTTTTATCTTGAAGTCTGTTGTTTCTCTGACAGTTGCTTGATTGCTGCAGTTGAAGAACAGAACCAAGTTCAATCACAGAGCTACACTGTTTTAGACAAAAGCAACAACTCCAAAATGTCATTACGGGGTGTCAATAAATAATATGACAAACATCAGTGCACTGATAATTCAGACTGCATTGCTACAAGAGCCATCTTACAAGGCAAAACAATATAATTTACTAGCAAGTCTTAACAATGGTGTGTTTGAATGATTCTAGCTGACCTTTGGTTGCATGAAGAGCTCTCTTCTGTATATTCAACATTTTCTTTAATCATTGGTAGGTTTTTTCCACTGAATTTTTTATTCAGGCCTAGAGAATAAATATATAGTTCAGTAATGATAATAATCTAAATTCTAATGTTGAAGTTATTTCTAACAGGGAACCTTTAGCTGTTCCCACCTTCTACTTTTTGACCCTATTATCACAAACAATGGAAAATCCGAATTTGCTTTTTTCAGCAGAATATCAAGACAAGACAAAACAAAAAGCAGACTTAAAAGATACTTCTCTTGTTTTAGAAACCTCTTGATTAAAAGGAAAAAAGCCCCACCACCTTGGAAGCAACCTTTACCTTGATTCAAAGTAGTTTGAGTACAAATCAGTTTTAAATGGAGTTTATTAGGAGTATCAAGGGCTTCTACATAAACTAGTCCTCAGTGTATATAATTCCAAATGGTATTATCGACACAATTAATCAGTAACCAGCAAATTTCAGAGACATATTTTCTTATCCTAAACCAATTTTATAAGTCATTTAGCTTTGTGCTTTGCTTTCATTATCCAAGAGCTAGAAATTGTCAAACTTTCTAGAGTTACACTTTTATGACCACAAAGGAACGTCCATGGCCACACTAAAACCTGGGTCTGAGTCACTGCATTTTCCCAGGGCAACACAGAGCCCTTCGGCTGAAGCTTCTTGGGAATTCAATATATGGACAGGACTCATCTTTTTCCTTCTCTTTTTCAAGCATATGGAAGACCTCCAGGCAGCTGGTTGCACCCAGTCCTGTGCACAGGACCACTAAACACATCCAAGGGCAGGAGCCAGCAAAGCATGAACAAGGCAGTAACAAATGTTTGCTGCACCCTCTTATAGCAAAGCTTTATTTTTAAATTACCAAGATCAAGACATCCCCCACTGGTCTTCTCCATACTCTGTCAGCCTTCACTTGATTCCCATCCCTTCCCTTGAACTGCATTTTTTTTCTTCACAGGTCTCAAATTCTTAACTTGGTATCTGTTGCCCTGTGTTCAACAAACAAGGCAGCTCCTTTTGAGTAACGACTTCAAGCAATTCTTAAAATATTCTCTCAAAGGTAAGCAAAGCTTTTGTCTAGACATTCTCAGTGCTCCCTTCCAACTCGATTAAATGGAGGGGAGGCAGTTTACAGAAGTAAAAATCCTTCCTATTGCTAACTAGCCGCTAAACTAGAAGGAACACTCCTGTTTCCAGAACAGCAGTCTGCTTTCTCCAAGCGGTGAGGGACATGGATAACAAGAAACCACTTCCTAACCTCACACAGGATCCGCTGCGCTGGGCACACGAGTGAGGAACAAACCTTTCCGGGGGACACTGAGGACGCTATCGGTAAAAATCTTGGCCGGATTACCCTGTCTCAGCGTCTTTACCCACGAGAACACACCGGACAAACCACAACGCAGGGTCTTCTCTCCGCCACCCTTTCCCACCGGTACTGACCCAGCCTCCTGCATCCCAAGCCCCGCCGCCGCTCGGGAGAGGCTCTTACAGGCAGGCTCGGTCCCGCGAGGCCCCGCGCCCCCGAACAGGCGCCACCGGCACATCTGAGAGACACCGGCCCGACTGTTCGGGAGAGCAGCCGCCTGCGGCAGAGGGGACGCGCAACGCTTCTTCCGCGGTACCTTCCCAGTGCAGGGAGCGCGGAGCCCCTCAGGCGGCACCGCCCCCGCACCGCCAGCCCGCATGCGCGAGGCGGCCGCACGCGCTCCGTTATGGGGCACCGGCCCCCTTGAGGGATTTCGTGTGGGACGCCTTCACTGCGTCCGGCAGTTTCGTGCTTCGTTCGACCTGGCGTGGAATGCTCGCACGGCAACCTATGCTAGAGCCTCACCGCCCTCACAATGTAAAAACTCGTGTATGAAAATGGAGTAAATAAATCGTGTGTGACCATCCCTGTACTGATCCGACCCCGTGTTTTAGCTTCAGTTTGTAGAGAGGAGAAATCTCGTTGCTTCGTTATCTGACAAAATGGAGCGCATAGAAGCATAAAATGATTTGGGTTGAAGGGACCCAAATATAATCATGTTCCAACCCCCTACCATGGGTAGGGATGCCTTCTGCTACACCAGGTTGTTCCAAGCCCCATCCAGCCTGGCTTTGGGCACTTACAGGCGTTTCTGAATTTCCAAGTGAAGGGAGATACAAGTGCGCACAAAAACTGGAATAGAGCCTGAATGCTTTGAAACTTTATTGGTTTAGACACAGTCTGAAAAAATACTATGCATTCCCAATTATCAATTGATATTAAACAAGCATATACATTTGGTTATATTATTATTGATCTAAAATTAAAAAGTGAAACCATTACAGAAAAACTGCTGCATCTTCAGAGAACTTTGCAACAATTTCTTTTCATAGGAGATTGCCAAAATCAATCTCATGTCCCGATATACATTTTGTAATTTTTTTTTTACATAATTTCTTATTTTTACAATACGTTTGGTTTAGGCAGACATTCCGAATTATTTCATACCGATGGTGAGGACAAAAGGAGGAGGAGGAGGAGGAGGAGGAACAATGGATTTTATAAATGAGCTTTAATTTTATGTCAATACACAAGAAAATCTTATGAGCAGTTTTGAGAAAGCTGAGAATTTAGTTCTTTACAAAAGTTTCCATAGATGACTCTTTGATATACATGCTAATATACCAAAACTGAAAAAAATTTAATAACAGTTAGGATTTTTTTTTACACAAATTAATGTGTTAAATTTTACCTCCCTTCACTTTCAGTTGAAAATACAATAGGCAACACTTACCAAATGCCTCATTTGTTGTTGCTTTTACTTTGTTAAAATACATAACAAAATGCTGAAATGAAGGGCTTAAAGGAACTCCAGATGCCTCAGAAAACATTTTTCTTTGGAAGAATTCAAGGGATCTAAAACTTTGTCTAAAAAATGTTTTCTAAAAAGCATTTTTCTTTGGAAGAATTCAAGGGATCTAAAACTTCTGAGCTACAGGCATCCAGATTTCTTCTCTGAAAAGCGTCATTGATTCACAGGCAAAAAGGTGGTACAGAAACCACAAAATGTGCAAAATACTGAAGAACATCAATTCCAAGAAGAAACAATGATTTAATTCTGAATTTTTCTCCCCTAGAGAAAACCAAAGTGAACTAAAGATACAAAAAGTATGCCAATAGAATTGCTTCTAAATAAAATGCTTTTTCAATTTTTTTCTAAGGCATCAAGAGGTCTTTAAGTAACCAATTTCCATGCAAAAATAGTATATTCTTTCCCATTTTACATTCATCTTGCAGCATTTATTTACATATAGATCAGCAGTTTGTGCTTTTAACACATGTAAAACTAAAAAAATCTAAGTTAATTTTTTCATTCCAGAAGTTAAGGTTAGATTATTTTGTTACACATGAGAATTTTATACTCATGGCAAAAATGAAACTGGACCTTACTACTGCTGATAGATACTGACTAACAGTGAGGGCAGATTGCAAAATGGTACTTTATCAATAAAAAACTCACTCTTTCTGTCTCACCTTGTGTGCATCAAGCACTTTAACCTGCAAATGTGCCTCTCAGGACAGAATTATTCCATGCATTTCCTGCCCACATGGGGCTAAAGACTGGTCTCGTTTCTGCTCACACTTTGTGCATTTTGGCAGAACAGATTTTTCTCTGTGTAATATATCAAGCCAAGAACATACAAAATATATAACTAAGCAAGAGTCTCTTCCTGAAAAATTTATTTTATTGTGGTTTTTTATGTATAAGACAGTAAGACAGTCTTCCAGTGATTCCACAGGCATAGCACCAGGCCCAGGAAAAGCCTCCCATGTTTAACATGTCCAAGAATGCAGTACTGCAACTGTAAAACTGACTGCAAAAACAGTTGCCACTCTTTAAGATGAATAATAGAAACCAATTTTGTAATTAGCTCTCTTAAGGTTTAAAACAAACAAACAAACAACATCCAAAAAAAAAAAAGAACCCCCACGAAACCAAAAACCAAACAACTGGTTATTGGACAGTCCTGGGGATTTTTCCTTGGTGGTCACAAGAAGTGTTTCAGTTTAAGAAAACTCAATACAAAATAAATACTCCTGGAATTTGAAGAGAAGCAGGATTGAGCCTAGCTCATGCTTTATCTATGTCTCTTTTTCAGGTGTTAATCTCTTACAACATTGTTATTATTATGGCGAGTGACCCACAGAGGAAAATCTGATTAAACAAGTATAAAAGAGAGCTTTTAGTTTATTTATATAATTTTTCACAAGTTCTGAAGGCATTCACACTTTTGGTGTGACAAAAAACCAACTTAGATTTTGCATCATCCAAGTGTGGCCAAGTCTGCATCTCTTCTTTCTTATTCTTTTGGTGTTCATATATTTGGCTCTAGTGCATCTGACATTTTGCATCAAATACCAAAAGAAGAATATAGATATATTATTCAGCATCATATATGTAAAAATAACAGCCATCTAAGCTGTAAATAAACTCATATTGGGATCTTTTATACTTATACAGAGTTTAGTTGTCTCAAAAAAACCTGAAATCATCTTAGGAGAAAAGTAAATTAAATTCAAATGGCAAAAAATATCAGTGAAAAATAGCTTTTCTCTACTTACTTAGATGACTGGGGGTTGGGGATTTTTATTTTAAAACTGTTGCATTAAAACAGACAGGAAATTGTACTGAATTTAATTCTCCGTTGCTTTGAAGGTTGTGTATCTAATGACTGTCTTTTGGCTGATACAAAGAGGATATGAACTAAAGTCCACTGAGATAAAAATCCTTTATGACTTATCTAGAAGAGACAGATTTTTTGCAAAAATCCCTATCCTCCGTTGACATGGCACACGCGAATTCCCCAGGGATGCTATTGCTGCACACATTGGTGAAAAATGATGACCCCATCAAATCTCAGATATTTCTTTACTTACTTTGGACTGATATGAGTCATTGCACTGAAATCAAATGAGGAATTGGGTGCATAAAGAGATTCAAACAAACACACATTTGATAAATCAAACTGCCACATTCTTTGAGTCATTATGTTACTGATACGGTTTCCTATGTATCATTTTATTCTGAAATCACTGCAATAAATCAGTCTTCATATTCCACTAACTCATTAATTCAAATTATTTCATTTGGAAGCATGCAACAGAACTTCAGAGAGAAAATAAGATACTGTTTAGATTAAAATTTTAAACTTTTAGCTTCAAAAGTCTACAATGGATTTCCAACATAAGAAAGAAAATAAGTGTGCTTCCACTGTCCTAGCAACAGGCACGGCTCCATGCTAGTATGCACTGGTGCAGCAAACATCAGCTAGTAAAATACACAGATATTTAGGATCTTGTTTAGCAGAAAGAAGCCATCAACAGTCCAAGTATTCAAGCAACTTGATGTGACAGTTTTCTCTTTGCCTTGTACCGTGCTTTGTACCAAGAGAGAGCTCTAGAGTATCTTCCTAATCCTTGTGAGACTTATCCCCTTTCTGATGACCACAGAAATCTGTTTTATCCAGACAAGTTGCTGGTTATTCCAGAGAGGCCATTGGAAGTGATGTCAATGATTTCTGACAATAAAGACATTCCCATAACAGGCCTTTCTACCACCATGCCCATTGTTCTGCTATACAGTGACATCTTGCACAGCAATGGTTAACGTAGCCTTTAGCCCATCCCCATGAGTCTTTTGGGGCAGTATTCCTTCCTCTTCCATAGCCAGACAAAGGATGCCCTCCACTGCTGCACCTCAGGCTGGCCTTTTCTCAAACCCTTTCATTTTGCTAAGCCCCATCCAGAATCACAGCTTATTCCTTGTGCTCCATTTCTTTAGCGCTGATTCTGAACAGGAGTTAGTCCAGCTAGACTACGCAGTATTAGCAACATGTGAAGTAATAAATTAGGGATTGGGAGCATATGGATTATCGTGAACTCCCACCTAAAGCCACCACAGAGCCAGTGATGCTTTTGCAACCTTCTCAGTTTGAGCTGTTCAGATGTTCGTGAGTGCACTGGACTGAAGGAGCCCTAATGCAGAACCTGCATACCACGGATAAACTGTGTTTGGATGAAAGGAAATAGAGGGAATTCTGTGCTATTGCTTCCTCCCCTGTTCTTTTAATTTCAAGGTAACATTAACCCATTAGATGTAATATACTAATAGGCCTGTTAACTACAAATAGTGGGAAATTCCTTCCTACTTCTGTTCTGGTTGTTAAGTCATCAATGATTAAATCAAATCAATGTCATTTATGTCCTGAAAAATATAAAAACTATCAATTACTATATAAACTAATATCCAGCTTGAAATTCCAAATCAGAGAAAATAGACTTTTACTTTCACCATCAATCACTGATTATTTGAGGTAGACAACAATATTGAATTGTTTATTATTTTAGTTTTTAATATATTAGGTTATATACAATCAAATATCAACAGACATACCTGAAACTTTCCCTATTTTAATTAGAAATGTTTGTGGTTATTTATAAGATATGCTTCCATAATTTACTTGGTCATAGATTGAAATTTCTGTGTATTTTGTGGCAATTGAGCATAACTTTTAGTAGTGCCTTACTGTGTACCTAGAGTAAAAAAGAAATTGTATCACACCTCATGGTAAAAAAAGGGAAAATATGGTTAATGATGAAATCCTAGAAAAATGAAAGGCTCAAATGCAAGATTCAGGTGCTTATCCATTTCAGCAGTGTCATTCTGGCTCTATACTTTTTGAGTATTATTCTAATATTGCTATAAAGTCCATTACTCAGAAGATTCTTCCAGTGATTTCAGATGGAGATGCTTGAATATAGCTCTTCTATTTGTTTTTTGAAGTAATCTCTGAGTTCCGGTCTCTTAGCCTTTAATGTTGGTGTCAACAAACCGTTTTGCACTGAGAACATGTCAGAGTGAATATAAATGGCCTTGACCTAAAATAAAAGAGGAATATATTTATAGCAAAGGTTACAGGCATCGCATTTAATAAGCATTAACTTTTTTACTGTGCTTCCCTTCGGTGGTGCCTCAAGTCCAGGGCACTCTTCCGCTGAGTCCCCAGGATTTCCATCCTCTGCCCACAGAAGGGAGCTCTCCAAGAGAATGAGCACTTCCGTATGAAAGTGAGGCCAGAGCACAGCAAGGCAGTGCACAAAGGACAGTGTGTGATACCATCATTGCAGTGTCACACAGCTGAAAGGCAGTGGGGGAGAGGCCAAGGGCAGGGAGTTGTGCTAAGAAACCTCAGCTTAACCCCACTGCAAAAGTAAACAGCGCTGATTCAGTCTTGCAAAATTATCGTGAAGCTTTGCAGGCACAAAGCATGTACATGATGATCATCTTTAACTAATTAAAGTGATACAAATCTTTTAGTCTCTGCAAATGGCATTTCACAAGGCTGCCCTTGTTTGAGGCAGTGGTTCTGAGCATAGTGGGGAGCCTGGCAGCACAGATGGGAGTGAGCTTTTCCTGCCTGTGCTGCTGTGGGAGAAAACAGAAAATTGCTGTATGATGCGTCAGAGCACACCAGTTTAAGATAAAATTCCCCAGCCATCTGCTGCTTTTGCTGCCATACAGGCTGCAAATCCATTTTCTATTCCTTATATATGTGATTTATCTTATGTGATTTATCTTTCCCTGCAAGCATCGTGGTCCAGGTCCTGCCCCCATGTAATCCTTCATAAATCAGTGTTCACGCTAATAATGCTCCCCTGTTTGCTGCACTAGCTTTCAGATCCTGGAAGCTGATGGTTATAGAAGCTACACTTGTGTTTCCCAAGATAGAGATCGAAACTGCAGACAAGAACGGGGATGATAAAATGTATCCCCATAAACAGGTGATCTCCTCCCACACGAACATTAGCCACAGTATCTGTGGCTAATTATTTTTTATTCTATTCTATTATTAGCTTATTCCAATTTTTAGAAAGATGACAAGGCTTTCCTCACTACTTCATACTTTATTAATTGAAAACTGCTGGTGGAATCGATTACTTGAGGATATTTCATACTGTGAAGGGCCATGGCAGAGGCAAACACTTATTAGCACAGACAATTATGTGCATTAATAACGATGCTTTCTACTGAATTATTTTTAAATAAAGGTCTTTTTGCTATCATTTCATTTGCATAGGTAACTGAGAAATTAAAAATAACAGGGCTATGTTTAATGATGCTTCTCTTCCACCCCAGTATGGTGAATTACTCATTAGAATTATCAGCCAGAAACAGTCTAAACAAAAGCAAAAAGGCCCTTGCTAATTATACGTAATGATTAAGATGTTCATTTTTTAAACAGAAATAAGCATTTGACATTTTAAAATGGGGTGGATAATTTTTCTATGTTTTTAATGCTATGTAATCCATGGTTGATTTCAGATCTCCCCTTCTGAAGTGTTCGTAGTTCTGTGGCAGAAATATTTACACAAGCAGGGAAGAACTAGTGCCCAGACTGAAAATAAAGAAAACAGCAACATTTCGAGGTCAAGTATAAGAGTAGTAATTAGTGACCTAATTTCTAACAGAGCTTTCAGTGGCAGTAAAGTCAAGACCTCCTATAGATGTTTATCTTGACTTCTGGTCGTCAGTCTGGAGATTATCCATGTCCCCAGTTTAGATTTTGACCTCTGCACCCAAAACTTTCACTAAATTTAATTCAAATTTCAAACATTGGTGGGAAGCAGAATCACAGCAAATACATTTTTCCCAAAGAATAAATACTTGCCAGCAATAAAACTCTTTCCAAAAACATCATGTACAGCTGCAACAAAGATCTGTAGTAAAATCATAAATGCTGACAAATCCCTCTTCTATACAGACAAACTGCCTGTCTGACCACACTGAATGATGTTTCATTTTACCTGCTCAAAGGAGTGAAGCCCACTCTCCTTCCCTAACCGTACCATGTCTTCCATTATTGCTTGCTGCAGTTCCTGCGTTAAAACACAGAAATTCCCCATGAGCTACCGTAATCAACCTTACATGCAATTAATGCTCACTGTTCACTAAAAAAAGTGTTTCTGAGTAAAGTTCAAGTGCCTAACAATTTATATATAATTAGCAAAATTCTAGTGTAGTGTATAAACATTACGCTTAAGTGTGGTGATGTTAAGTGTCTCCTTGGTATGAAAGTTAAGGTTCTATTATCAAACCAGCTGTGTGACATAACTGTTGAATTTAGTCATTCAGCCATCTGCCAGACTTCAATGCAGAATCATTGCCCACAGACACCAGTGGGATGGTTCAGTGACATCAGTATTCACTGATGTGATCCAATGCAGTTCCTCAGTATTAGTATGTGTTTTAAGACTGGGGTCCTTTTTAAGGAATCATAGAATGTCCTGAGCTGGAGAGGACCCACAAGGATCATGGAATCCAGCCCTGCATAGAACAGCCCCAAGAGTAATATCATGTGCCTGAGAGTGTTGTCCAAATGCTCCTTGAGCTCTGTCAGACTTGATGGTATGACCAGTCCCCTTGGGAGCCTGTTCCAGCACCCAGCCACCCTCTCTGGGGAAAACCTTTTCCTAATATCCAACCTAAACCTACCTCCTCCGACACACCTTCAGGCCCATCCCTCTGATCCTGTTGCTGGTCACCACAGAGAAGACCAGCAATGAGTCTTATTTACTTGTCTTATTTAAGAAATCTTAGGAAACACAACCTCTCCTCCTGCTGTACTGTTGTTCTCTGCAAGACGGCCTCTTGGCCCTCCCACACCACAGCTGGCAGAGGTCGGTACCACCAGTCAACACATATCACCGGATCTAGGTCAACTATGTTGAATGTTCAGTGAGGAAATAATGCTTGTCACTGAAATTGTCATTCCTAGACACAGTATTGTGTACACATAATGCTAACAAAAAAAAA